TGGTTTGTAGGCTGGCTTTCTTTGCTTTATGTTTTAAAAACCACCTATGAGTGAGTACATGTGATAATTGTCTTTCTGTGTCTGGGTTACCTCACTCAAAATAATGTTTTCTAGTTCCATCCATTTTCCTGCCAAATTCAAGCTGTCGTTATTTTTTTCTGCTGTGTAGTACTCCATTGTGTAAATGTACCACATTTTTCTTATCATCTCTTCGATCAAGGGGCATTTAGGTTGTTTCCAGGTTCTGTCTATGACAAACAAAGCTGCTATGAACATAGTTGAGCACATGTCCTTGTGGCACGATTGAGCATCCTTTGGATATTTACCCAAAAGTTGTATTTTTGTGTCTTGAGGTAGGTTGTTTTTTAATTTTCTGTGAAATTTCTATACTTACATTTAATTGGGCTGTACCAGCTTGCATTCCCACCAGCAATGCAGAAGTGTTCCCTTTTCCCCACAACCTCTCCAGCATAAGTTGTCATCCGTGTTTTTGATCTTGGCCATTTTTACAGGTGTAAGATGGAATCTCAGAGTTGTTTTGATTTGCATTTCTCTGATGACTAAGGATGCAAAACCATACTTCTAAAACAAATATTTCATATCACAAAATAATTTCTTCAGCATCAAACAGAGTTCTTTGTTTGGGAGCTGGAGAGATTCTTCAGTGCTTAAAAACCCTTACTGCTCTTGCGCTGGACTGGGTTCAGTTCCTAGCACCTACGTGGTCGCTCACAACAATCTATGACTCCAATTCCAGGGATCTGACACCTCTTCCAACATCCATAGACCCCTAAACATGCATATACTCAGCACATACAAATAAAATTAAATAGATTTTAAAAAATACTCCTGTTCATGTGACCTGATATAAAGAACTCTTAATTACTGTTGGATAAAAAAGGCAGCTAGAGGATAATATGGGGTTGGAGGGAAGGCTCAGTGGTTGAGAGCACTGGCTGCTCTTCTAGAGGCCTGGGGTTCAATTCCCAGCACACAATATGGCAGTGTTGTCTCTAACTCAAGTTTAGGGGAATCAATGCCCTTTTCTAGCCTTGGTACAAGGCACACAAGTGCACAAACATAGATGCAGGCAAAACACCTATATATATATAACTATAAATAATTTAAAATTTTTTCACTGAGGCAGCAATGTAACTATGATGGCTAATCTTGGTTGTCAACTTGGCACCCCTGGAACAAAGGAGCCTCAATTAAAGAACTGCCTCTCTCAGACAGACCTATGGTCATGTCTGTGGGGCATTTTCTGGATTGCTAATTCATGTAAGAGGGCTGAGTCTGCTATGAGCCTGGACTGAAAAAGAAAAATAGCTAGCAGATTGAGCCTGCCAATAAGCAGTCTTCTATGGTCTCTGCTTCGGTTTCTGCCCTCACTTCTCTCAAGGTTGTTCTGTGACCTCTTTCCTTCCCTAGTTGTTTTTTCATGATGATTAACAGAGCAACAGAAAAGCAAGCTAGCATAATGGCATATCCATAAAGCAGGGCAAGACTTAGCACGCAGAGCTGGAAGATGTTTTGCTAAATGAAACATGTTAAGTCACTCATTTTAAAATTGTGGGATGTGCAGGGCATGATGGCACACACCTATAATAACAGGCATTCAGGAGGAATCTCTGTGAGTTCAAGACCAGCCTCATCTACATTTTGAGTTCTGGGTGAGTAGAGGCTGCATAGTGAGATCCCATCTCAAAACAACAACAACAAATAAAAAAAAAAGAGGGAAATACCAGGCTGAGGACTTAAGCCATCACAAGTTGGCAGTCCCTCTTTTTTTTTTTTTTCCCCCGAGACAGGGTTTCTCTGTGGCTTTGGAACTAGCTCTTGTAGACCAGGCTGGCCTGGAACTCAGAGAGATCCGCCTGCCTCTGCCTCCCAAGTGCTAGGATTAAAGGCGTGCACCACCACCACCCAGCTTGGCAATCCCTCTTGAGGATATTTCAAGACTCTGACAAAAACAACCTAAGTGCCTATCCACTAACTGATGAATAGATGTGGTATGTATATATATATATATATACATATATATGTGTATATATATGTTGAAATGCTGTTGTCATAAAAAAGAGTGAAATCTGGTCATTTATGACAGCTTTACCAGAACTATAGCTCACTGTGCTAAGTGAAATAAGTAAGGCACAGAAAGACTGTGTGATTTCCCTCAGAAGTATACTCTAAAAAACTTGGTCTCCACCAGGCAGTGGAGGAAACTTTTAATCCCAGCACTCGGGAGGCAGAGACAGGCCGATTTCTGTAAGTTAGCGGCCAGCCTGGTCTACAGAGTGAGTTACAGGACAGCCAGGGCTACACGGAGAAACTGTCTCAAAAAACAAACAAACAAACACAAAGGTTGACTTCTGGCTGGAAGTATAACTCAGTGGTAGAGTGCTTGCTTATCATGTGTAATGTCCTATGTTT